GGTATATTTCGAAATGAACAGCACATTCATTTCTTAGATAATGAGATTGCAATTCAAAGATTTTCAACACAAATCTGAATAGTCAACGAAAAAACCGAAATAAATCCACATAATTCGCCAGATCCATTTATGGATTTATATTTGAATTACACTTTGCGAACGTATTACGTTTTTGATATCATGGATTTACAGTTATATTCCATTTATACCAGATATACGAAAAGAGGAATGATTTTGCTGATGTATCTAGAAATTGAGCTAGATGTAGATTTGCAAATAATTTTGTTGAACTGTCAAAATAATTTTCAAATCTGTATCTTAGCTTAATTTTTAGATACTTTAGCAAAACTATTTTTGCTGTTCGTGTCCTACTGTTGGATTTTAATTGTTTAATAATCGAGAATATGACGATGGTATAACCTAGCATATAAAGGAAGTTAGAACTCGTATTTTGGATGTATATAAAAATATGTCAAGGTTTGGCGCTTTCTTTAATTTTTGAAGAACTTGATTTTTTGACCGTGTATTTTACCGGATATATAAATTATCAAGAAGTAGATATTGCATTGCTTTGTACAATGCAACATTTATAAATATCGACAGCTTGACTTCAGAGACGTATTTGAGAATAAAAATCGTGTATAAAGTTTATTCATTGCACGCATACAAATAAGGAAAATAATCACGTTTCTTAATTCGCCTTGACTTCGAAATAACGATTTTTTAAGGAAAAATCTTAGAGCCTTGCCTAGACATTTTAGTAATGTATTTATCAGCATTAGTCTCTTATTTTCTATTTGAAAACGTATTTCCTCGTAGTATACAGTTAACACTAAATTTTTGCAATCAAGACACACGCACATCTTTATTTTAATTTATTTTAATTTATTTTTTCATTGTAACGTTCAGCGGAACGTTTCGACAATTATGTTATTTACGTCATGATTGCATCTTCGCGAATTGTTATTAAAATTATTAATTTTCTATATATATATATATATATACATATATTATTAGTTTTGAAAATAAAAGTTGTGATGATAACATGTGCCTTAACGTGTCGAAATGTTCAGTTTTTATATTTTATGATATATATATATAATATAGTATAAAGTATAGTTTATATAAGAGTTACACTAATGTACAAGAGATAACTATGCGCATACCATTTAAATCCGTGCACTTTTGCAAGTTTGAAATCCGCATTGTCTGAACGTGAGTCTATCTGCTGATATTGAACTTGACTGAAGGATATAAAAGTGACTATTTTGGATCTCGATGCTCTTATTTGAGCAGTGATATTTATTTAAACATCTTATTGTTATAAGATGTATAAAATGTTATGTGCGCATGAATTATCGTCTGTATGTCAATATTTTGTTCGTGGAAGCGTGTCCTTTACGTAAAAACCTGTGCCTTTTATCACAAGTTCTTAACCCATAATAATTGTACTTATAATTTTTATACGTTTCCATGAACATTTTATTTATTCCATCTCCTCTTCCTTTTTCATCCTTTTAGCTATTCCTTCCAACCATCCCATCCATTGGATATAAAATGACCTATTCTCAATTCTGTACATTTCACATTATTATCATAATTTAGACGGAACATTAGATACGAGGTATTGTCACTGTCAGTTTCACTACGATATTGTCAAGGCCGTCGAAACAGAAGCTACTGCTAAGATCACGCTTCCTCATGTTTATATACGTAGCTAGCTTTTGCCTCATGGATTTGACAGTTCGTGGAAGACACATTGTTTTTTCTCAGTTGACACTCTTCTTTCTGGTGTTCCTTAAGATTCACTAAAGGACACGTTTCGTTTTCATATTGTTACCATGTTGTATATATATTAAAATAAAAGTAAATATGTACATTATAAAGATTATATTATATTCGTTGACGGTGAAGACAGTAGAAGAGAGAGGTAATATATCTCGTTTAGTCGAGTATAGTTTTGTTTTCAAAAGAGAACGTGCGAATTAAACTACCAAAGAGCTTCCTCAATAAATATAATTTTTTTTTTAATTGTTTTGAAAGTTTATCAAATTATGCAAATTACAAAGAGATAATTTCGTATAAGTGTGTAAGTTTTAAACAAAAAATGTGTAGTTTTTTCTCCTTTCAAAACTGTCGATCACTCTTAGTTAGATAAGTTTGAAGTGTTCCACTTATTGTTACAGGTTAACTTAACATTGAAATTTCAGTGAAATTTAGAAACTTTTTTCAATTTTTCCACTATCTGTGCGATATAAAATGTTTAAAGTTTAACTGTAGGATATAAGACACACATAGTATAAGATAACTTAATTCAACGTTGTACGTTTTGATTCAACAATTCCTACAATTTCGATAATCAGATTAAAGCAACTAATATTTAAGTAAAATTTTCATAAATTTATTTGCGACATTTAACAGATTACATCAACGAATAATTATTAAATTACACAATCTTTAAAACATTTCAATTCTTTCTTAAAAAAAATTAAAAATTAATTTTTTGTTCATAAATTTTAATAAATAATAATCTAAGCAATAATTTCATCTCCGTAATTGTATATGTGATTTTCAAAAATGTGTAAATGTGATTTCTCGAATACGGAAAAGGCATCTAATGTCTCTTACTTGTAACTAACAACTAAATTGTATTGTAATAATATTTTTAGCTCTACAGAGATAAATATATTTCAACATGTGTATTTAATCCTTAAGAATTTAGGAACGCTGAAAAAAAATCGATTCAGTGTTCTTCAATCTTACTATGAAATTAGTTTCATAGCATACCCTCTTAGTTTCTCTTAGGAATTGAAATGTTTTAAAAGTTTTATATCGATCTCGAAAGAAAGGAAAATATATATATTCGAATATCACAAAAGACAGTACGATAAATATCTTAGTTTTGTACAGCCATTTTTACAAGATGTTAAATAGTATATGAAAATATTACAAAATGTTCCTACTAGAAATTAAGACTATAGCGTGCCAAGTGTTTGTTACGTTTCTTTCTAAGATATTGAAATGTAGTGTTCTTGTAATTTGTATTACGAGACTTACCCACTTAATAATGCGAATAAGTGCTTAAGCTCTGTAAGATGCACGTCTCATACCTTAATGGCATACGTGGCCGAAGTTTAGAATTACGCCGTTCACACACAGTGCTGTCATATTATACCGGACTGATTCATACTGAGGCGCGAGATGACGTTACAGTAATCCGACCGTGCAGTAGCGATTAAGAGCAGCAGCAGGTGATAACGATTTAGGAGTATGTAAGAACCAAATTTCATGTTATAACATAGGCAGAAATTTGAAAAGAGAGAAATGAGCAAATTTCAGTCCGCACAGATTCACGATAATGTATAGCATGTCCAGTTGCACGTTTTACAGAATTGTATAAATATTTATTTTGTCGCAATCACTGCCTTCGATGTCGATCGAAGTTTACCCAATTTACGCGTTTCCTGTCTGCGTGTGTTGGAATTCGTCCAACCGATTAATATTTTACGCAGAACCCAAGAAAACTTTATTATATACTTATCCAAAACGCAAACGTACTCGCGCGATCAAACTTTTTGGATTTTTATTTTTTTTGTATTTCCTCTATTCGCTGTATTAGATTTCCGCCTATTCGGAATTAGTCTCGTGCATTCTGGACACGCTTTTCCTTTTTTGTACTCGTTTGTATTTTAAGATTATATTCTTACGCATAATCGTCATAATAATAATCTCGCCATTCCAAATATTTGTACCAAGGATAATTATACTATTATTACTTCCGCCATATTAATATATTATTTAAATGTATTTGTACAAAATTGTATTATGTTTAATAATGATTCATAGAATATATGCATTTGAATTAAAAATGTATTTTTCTCTTAATATTATGTCGCCCTTTATTAAGTTTTATTCATTACTAACGATGTATTTGTGATACAATAAAATTTATTAAAAATCTATATGTAATACTTTCCGCCCTTACATATAGATCAAAATAAATCGTTAAATATTGCGTGACTGCGTCTTTTGCGATATCTGCAATAATTGCACATAAGATCAGTTTGATAATTCATACAGCAGTAACCTATTTCTTTTATATCACTTTATTATTTTTCAACTAAAGCAGTTTAAAAATTCGCTTTCTTTATGAATCAATCTGCATTAATATAAAAAGAAATACCATTGCGTACCGTAATTGACATAATTAACAATTATTACACAGTGTTTTATAAAATTCAATTTTACTATTGTTCTCATTACGTAATTTAATAACTGTATTATTTAAAGGTGAACTGATACACCCACGCGCGCGCGCGCGCTCACACACACACACACCAGCTTAAAATTCCATCTGATTATTTCGATAATGGCTATTGAATAAGTAGGTCACATCCTTTATATTTGACCAGTTAAACGGATTGTCCTTCACATATTGTGATTGTATATACTGCTAAATTACTGCAGAATTATAATTAAATTGTTTAAACGAAAAATTATTAATATTAATATTACACTTATTTAAAATCTACTATCGGATAAATTTTTTTGTATTTATACTGTTATTTTTTACTTTAAATAATATCTATAATTGTATTATTATATTACTCTTAAGCATGTATTTTTGTTTAATTTTATATAAAAAAAACTTGTTAATAAATTATTGATTTAATTTGTCTTTATTCCGTATATAGCGGATAAAAATTTAGTAATTTTTCGTATTTTTAAAAATATTTTGCTTAGTTTGTATTTTACTTTTCTACAAAAATCCCTGCACTCTTTGTATTTTTAAACGCATGCTGATGTATGACGCGTAGCTATTATATTTTGCCTTCGAAAATTGGTCGTTATGACAAAAGATAATACGCTATTAGCGTCATATCTGCATCTGTTCCCATAAACCCGGGAAATACTAGTACATCCTGTATACATAAACGCATGCTCGTGTTAAAAAATCGTTCAATAGACAGCGTTCTACCGAATAGTAACGACACATCGTCATGTCACGGCTTTACGTGCTGGTAGCTGTCGTCACAATGACGATTAATGTTTCGATTACTTTAGAAAGGGTGAAACATGAACTCGATCAGATTGACAAATCAATGATTCGGAAAGGCACAGTTAATTATCAAAATCAGGATGTGCCGTTTACCGATTCGTCGTCTGTATTCTTTTTACATCTGCTTAAGTGCAAAACGCGGTATCAGAAGCTAGACAAGATTTTCTCCACCACCGCCACTCCAGTAAGAGATTGTATCTGCGTACCTTTCTATTTATGCGACAGGAACCAGACTATCATCACCGATGGGTCCGGAATATTCGACGAGCGGTGAGTTAATTCAATTAATTAATCGAAGTTCGATAATCAATTAGTATTGCGTATGCTGCTATTGATATCGATTAATTTTAACGTTACTTTTCATGTGTATCAAATTTTAATCTTACATTATAACTTTGTTATTTTAATTTTATCTAATATTGATTCGATTTTACCACATCGATTTTTAAAATCCTAAAACTGATTAATTTTTATTTTCCCTTTTAAGTTCTCTTTAAGCGTTATGTTTAATTTGCTGATCAAATTAAGTTTTCAATTAATTGATAATGGTAAAGTCAATCTCTAGAATGTTTAATTATATGATTACTTCAATTAATTTTGTGCAGTGCTGGCACTAATCGGCCTTGTACCGGAGACTTGGAGGTCTGCTGCTATCTGCCAGATACAGTTCGCACAAATGTGACACCTTTAGTTACATTTCCAAGTGTAACTAGTATGACAACTCCAGCTAGATCTTCAACAAATGTAACTCCTATGACACCTCCAGCTACATCTTCAACAAATGTAACTCCTATGACACCTCCAGCTACATCTCCAACTTCGTCATCAATGACAATGCCTTCAATGGCAACACCAACTATGCCACCATCAACACCTACTCCAACTGCAGCACCGACGACTTCTCCTATAACCGCATTGAACTGTACGTGTGTTATGATATCGTTATGTGATCCTAATGGAATAGTCACCATGTTCGGAGAGGGGGTAATAATTCCGCGGTACGGATTGTGCCCCGACGACCTGATTTGCTGCAGGATATTGGCGCAGCAAAAAATAAGTTCTTCGCTCACGATTACCATAGTACCACTCACAGCTGTTACGACGACCATAGTACCACCCACAGTCACTATGGTATCTCATGGTCAGCAAATGTGTTTCGTATGCGATAACGTCACTTTATGTTTGACTTGCATGGCCGTCATTACATCCGGCGGTGGTGCCATGATAGACCCCAGAGTTTCTCGGATCTTGGCAGATGGAAATATCTGCACGTCGACAAACATACCGTCTTGTATAAACATGTCAGTCACGCCGAATACGGACCTGGGCCAATTGAAAAATCCTGGTACATCACAAGAATGTTACTGCGTTAAAACCTGGCTGTGCTCTGAAGGGAACGCGGTCAATCCGGATGGTCTTGGTATAATTGATTCGAGGTTCACATTGTGCTCTTCGGCGGACCAGGTATGCTGTCGGCTCATAGGGATCAATCTTCAAAGCGTCTCCTCATCCAGTGTTGTTGCGAATGGATCATCCAATCGTTCGACTTCGCAAATCACTTGTGGTATACAAAACAATGGTTACGCACCATGTAAGTATAAGCTATATATTTATATATAGGTACGTATTAATGATGCAGTGCAAAACTATATCTAGGAACAACTTTAATCAAACTCCAATCAACACTTTTTTTATAGATTAACTTCTCGGTTCATCTTACTCTTCATTTTTCTCTAATTCATGTAACTAGAAGAACAAGAGTTAGTTGGAAAGAGATTAAAATTAAACTGTACATTTATATAGTAAAAGTGTAAGTAATACAAATAAATTAATATAATTAGGTTTATTTAATAGAATTTAATTAATTAATGGAATTATGTGCTTATCAAAAACAGATATTATATAAGAACAACGAATTGTGTATTGTAGATTTTTTGTTTTAAGAGTTTCTGGTTAAATTATCCGTCGATTAAGTTAATCGGAATTTGATCGAGTTTGGTTAAAGTCGCCTAAATTCAATATAGTATATCTAGCTTATTCAGGGATATTAATTGTTCGAGTGATAATAACAGCAATCGCTTACAGCGCAACCTTTTCCCTCTGATTCTGGGAAAACCTATTTCGCTGAATTTCCATGGATGGTCGCACTTTTCCTACAATCTACGACCGACGGTTCTTACAGTTTTCATTGCGGTGCTTCGGTGATCAGTAATGGGGCCATCCTCACTGCCGCTCACTGCGTTGTAAAGTATGTGCGTGTGTACAAAAGACGCAAGAAATTGCTACAATATTAGGTTGTTCGGAAAGTTTCATTGTACCGCAATTAAGAAATCAGATTCCTAAAACTGAAACTTTACTCTATTAAATAGTATAATCGCTAATTTTTTAAATGTACAATATACTATTTCGAGTTAGAAAATTTGTAACGAACTTTTCGAACAACTTAAAAAAAACAAGACTTTTTAAAACATCTCTCATAATCTCATTGATTTTATTCGTTTTATTTTTTTTTCATCTTAATTTTTTAACAGCCGAAAACCTGAAAATTTGATTGCACGCTTTGGCCAGTGGAACATAGGAAGTAATATTCAACCATTGCCTATTCAAGAAGCGAAAATTGTCGCAATAGCTATACATCCGTCGTATTATAACGACGGACTTTTCCATGATGTTGCTGTTCTCATTTTGGCAAAACCAATCAGTTATAGCGCGAATGTCTTACCAATTTGCCTTCCCAAACAAGGTAAAGTCTTCTTGGCCGGGACCAGATGCTACGGAATAGGATGGAGCAGCAATTCATTCGGTGAGCTCGAATTGAGATTACAGATTTTTGTTTACTATTTGTTCATCAAAATTAGCACTAATTCACACAATCTTGTTTTAGGATCGGAAGGGCAATATCAGGTCGAGCTTCGAAAGGTGAATCTTCCTATCGTTAATCGAGAAGATTGTCAAACGCGTTTACGAAGCACGAAATTAGGCCAGTACTTTCAATTGCATGGATCGTTTATGTGCGCCGGCGGTGAAGCGAATAAAGATACGTGCCGCGGCGACGGCGGTGGACCGTTGGTTTGTCAAGCAGCTTCAGGACAATTTTTTCAGGTGAAAAACATTATAATAAAAATAATATTTTTATATACCAAAAAGAATTTAGCGCAGTGAACAGAAAGGAATGAATAAACTTAATGCTTTCTTTTTAATCTTTCTTTAAATATCTTTGTTTTAAACATCCGCGTTGTTATATCGTAATTATACTGTTCCAATCAGTAAAATTTATTCTTTTAATTCTTATTTATTTATATTAATTGCTATTTTTTTCAATTCAGTTCATAAGCATTTTGAGTTTATAATATAAATTGAATGCAATATTCATTTTTCTATTGAATAAAAGAAATGAACTGGGATAAAAATTCTTACTTTAGGCTGGTATTGTATCGTGGGGTATTGGTTGTGGAGCTTCTAATGTGCCTGCAGTATATGCCAGCGTACCGCAACATCGTCAATGGATAGATCAACAGTTTACGACTTATGGCATATAATAATGTGTTATATGTATTATAGTTTAATATTTCAACACGCGTGACTACGATGTGCTGTGTACGTAAAATATTATTCATAACTTATGAAAATAATAATAATAATAATAAAGTGTAGTATTTTAATAACACTTGAGTCTTTTTAAATAACTTTGCATACTTTATATACTTCATACTTTGTTATTTATTTTAGTTTATTCAAGTAATTCGTATTTCGTTTAGTCTTCTTGTTATGCAATGAATAATAATAAGTGCGTCATAAATGCATTCTCCGAAAACGAATAACTGTGATTATATTTGTTTTAGCTATATATCTATATTTATGTAACATCATAAATCTTATCATAGCGTGGGAAAGACTCTGAGGTTAAGCGTATATTTGTCCCAGTTTCGAGGCAAAATGTTTCTCGTACATCTTTCGAATTATAAGGCATCGAAAAATTATTCGCTGTAAAGTTAAGCACATTTTATTCCATGATATAATAAGGTGATCTGCAAACATTCTTTAAGAAAGCTCTAAAAAAATTCAAATTATCGAAATATGACAAAATTTTGTTAACTATATTATCTGAATATGAATAATCAAAAAATTTACAAAAAAGACTTCCACCGTGACAATGTTTACACATTGCCGTGACCAGGATTCGAACCTGGGTTACTACGGCCACAACGTAGGGTCCTAACCACTAGACGATCACGGCTACTGGAAGAATTGAGTGAAGATTCGGAATTAAACTTTGTTCGCCGATAAATAAAAAAATTCTAAATAATTACATATATATTTCGACTGAGAAGACTATAATAATCAATGTAACATTATTAGTAATAAGATAAATATATATAATAAAAGATATAGTTAAACAATTTTGCAAAAGTCGATATTTTTGTTACATTATATATGTATATTAAATATTTCTTTATTTCTCTATTTTTTCTATCATATCAATTTAAGAAATTCTAGAAGTACTGATGACACGTGTTTTCAAAACACATATATCCGAATAAAAAATCAAGAAATTTTTTTAAAATTATGCATTTTATTTTTATATAAGCACATAATTTGATATAACTACAATTCTAAAATAGCGTAATTTGAAAATCAACTAAAAAAAAGCTTCCACCGTGACAATGTTATCCACATTGCCGTGACCAGGATTCGAACCTGGGTTACTACGGCCACAACGTAGGGTCCTAACCACTAGACGATCACGGCTACTGGAAGAACTGATTCCAGAACTGGAGAATCTAGTAGAAGAGTTCTACCACGGTATAATCTTTTAATAATTAAATATATATTTGTCTAATTGCGTAATAAATATTATATAATATATTAAATTAGTTGTACTAAAATAATTTTATGCATTGAAAATAATGTAAGATTTTAAAAATAAGAATTAATATTTTCTTTGCATAAATACTCGTTTAAAAAAAAATATCTATATATTAAATTGAAAAAATTATATCTGTAATTATTATGTTTTACAGTGAGTGCAAAAAGTATTCATACAGGATCAATTTTTATTTAAAAAAGACCTTATATGTAGAAAATTAATTAGCAATTTTATGTAGTAAGTACATAGTACATTATTTTATCCTAAATAAACATAAACAAAAGAGTTACGCATGTTCATGATCATATATTACAGAATTTATCTAAATTTATCAACTTGTATTTTTAGTACATTTAAAATATTACATTTTTTTCGTTTTTTTCACTTATTTTGAAGATAATATATTTTAATTATTATTTGTTATACCCAGACTTTTTTAAGTATAAAATAATTTAAAAAATGTACAACCTATTGTATTCTTTATATTATAATAAATTGTTAATTAATATTAACTTTGTAAAAATAGTTTTTTAAAAAGATATCTTCTCTGTACGTATATTTTTTACATTTACTCTATTTGCGCTTTCTTTCTTAGCGCAATTTCGCCAAGTTCGAAATCTGATGATAATATAAACACGATATTTACATTCATAAAAAGCGCAGCATTTATCTCATCACACTGAACTTTGCTATCACATACAGTTTTTTATTTTATATTTGAAAATGTAAATTTTGATTAATTCAAAAGAATCACAATCTGAATTACTTGTTTTGAAACAATTCGACAAATACAATCTTAGATTAACCAATGTCCGAGCATTATGAAAATATCTTAATTACGCATTTAAGAATACTTAACATTCTACTGACGTAAAAACATGTTTTAAATGAAGACGCAACCATTTAGTTAAGCAGCTAGATGTGTATTTATGACTTCCTGCTAACAATTAATCGTAATTATCAGCAATGATGAATCTATTGTATTACTACAGAATATTTTAACGTTTTCAGTTCTATTCCAAGTTGTGGTATAATTGTGTTATTATAAACAACAAAGAAAATATACAAATCATAACTTCATTAGTCTTTTTTATGAAAGAATTATGAGAAAATTTGTTTTTTCAATTGCTCAGCTAATTTTAAAGATTATGATTCCTTAATTTCACGATAAATTTTTCTTTAATTTAATAATTTAATACTTTTACAGAGTTTGCTTGCGAGCTAATAAATAGTTTTATTTATGTTTCTCGCGTTCGATAAAATGGGGATGTTAAGCGGCATTTCCGATCAGATATAATATTGAATAAAATGTGATATTGCGACACCTGCGGACAATGTCTGATGATATTACGTGTCACCTGAATCGCATGCAACTAAACGGTGATCGAAGCTTGACAATCTCAACAATCTCTTTCTATATTGACGTGCGTCATTAATGACGAAGTGGGACATACTCGACTGTTTATTTTTTAACATGCTTTTCCTTTAACGATGTGGGGACAAATCGGGGTAAGTAGCCTACCAACATTATACTTATTTATCATATTCCTATAAGCTTTAAGGAAACTCAAACGACAAATATTACGTATTGATGTAGAAACAGAAAGAGAATAATTTAGTTTTCATATTGATATAAATATCAGTGATCTGCAACTGTTGTTCTTTATAATTTTTTAGATGACATTAAAATTTGCGTACTTATTTGTTATATTTTATTAAGATATTTTATTGTTTTTTGTCCATCTCTCTTTTTGCGGTAAGCTACGCGGAAAAGAATCAAACGAGATTGATGATTTATTATTCATTAGAAAAAAATTGAAATTTCTTTCAACTTAAAAAGGGATAAAATGTAATTTTAAATTTGCGTTAAGTTCACAAACATTAGCTAAATAATTCTATTCAAAGTTTTTATTGCAACATTTAAATTTCAACTAATTACACGAAATGAATAAACTTTTTATATGGTTTGGCTTTTTGATAAAACTTTATTCAGAGCCATTCCATTGAAGAAAACCTGGATAAAAATCGAAACTAGTATTGCAGAATACATTGTTCCACAACAAATACAATTGCCAAGCAAAGACGTAAAAGATATCAATTTATCATGTACATTCGCGCTTGAAGCTTTCGCAAGAATCAAGAGACATAGTAGCTCTAAGGTACGCGAAGCGACGAGACCGATTGCGTATACCTTTATCGAGTTTTTTAGAAAGTAATGTGATTGTCAGATTTTAATATTAAAATTATATTGTGCACAAAAAATAGTTTTACTGTATTTAAAATTCATCTAGATACAAGTCTGAAAATAATTTTATTAAATTATTCAAAGTAACTAATATAATTATGGACGCTCACACAATAAGCTGGTTGCTTATTGTGTGAGAATATCAAAACTTTTTTGCAGCATTGTTTATCATGCTTGAGAGTTTTACATAATTACTTTGGTGATCCAACAAATTATTTTCAGGTCTGTATCTAGCTATACACTTTTAGATATTTCAGTAAAATTATTCTTTCCGTGTACTTAAATAAATTATTGCCACGTTATGATTTGTAAGAATCTGGACAAAAATAATTATTTGACAAAGTACGACCATAATTGACATTTTTCAAAAAACTTATTTAAGTATGTCGAAGATTTTCTGCATATCAGTATCTGAAGGACTCGCTTGATTATTATTGATCTAAGATCAGTTTGGGTCAACAGATATTTATATTTTTTTTTCCGATGAATTTTTCAGTGTTGTGCGTCACGAAAAAGGGGAATTTTGCATTAATTAAGGGAACGCATGAGTTTCTCTACTGGAACTTCCAGGAAAACAACGTCGAATCTCAGGGTCGATGTATGAGTGGGAAATGCCGGTTCTCCAAGTCTTGGAGTAGCAATGACAGAAGGAAAGTGGGGAGAATACATGATAAACGTGCTTGGAGTAGGGATTTCTTGATGCACACAGAAGAATTCACGATCTTAACTCAGAACTATTCGCTGCTTCGAGTGGAAGGTGCTCGTTTGTTGTTCATTGTATTTTGGTATTTCTTTCTGGTGAGTACTGTGTCAAATTTGATAATAATATAAACTTATTTCGTTCAAGTTTTCTGAATGTTCAATGATAAGATTTGTTGTTTATTTGAGAGAGAGGAGAGAGAGAAAGAGAGAGAATCATAATTTAAATTATATTTGATTGTGCTTCAATAATAATGATAATATCGAATCTATTTTTCTGCCTTAACATATGACCGCGATTATTAGGTAATGTATAGTTATGATCATATAATGATTATATAATTTTGACATGTAAAATTCTTGAAATTATCCTATCGTATATAATTTCCTTTTATAACTTCTTGATATAAAATTCTTGTAATTTCTAAGTTATAAGTAGCTGGAAACTGATACCGGTTTTACGAAAAATTCGACGCTGAAAGGTCAGTGGCAAGTAATTTTAAATAAACGTTCTGTAAGAAGATTTTGTAACAGAAATATTACATAACTTACTACGGCATTATCGTGTGTAATTATTAACGTATCAATTATGAAATTAATCAGATCCATGTGGTAAAAAAATGTTGAATGCTCGGAATAAGTGACAAAACATACTTTCGCGATACATCTATGATTTATCAGAGTGCATTTATGTACAAATAAAATATAGAAATTAATGTTAACAAATATTTATATAAATGATGACGAATATTTATATGTATTTTTATTGCAGAATGTTAATTATCTAAAGGTATCAAGTATTTTGAATAATTACTTGGTCAAATTATTGCGTGTATTTCATGGTCATACTTATTTTAGGAAAAATTATAAGTTGTTTGAAGGATTCAGTTCTTTCTTTTGGATTTAGCATTGAATTGAAATTTTGAAATAATCTTATTGTTATAATTAGAAAAATACCTTAGATGTAATAGTAAAATATATAGAAATAAGGAGAGATAGTATAAAATCGGAGTAGCAAAATGTACAATAAGTATACTCATCAATTACTTCAAATTAATTAATATCCTTTAATCTGATCTACATATATATTATATAATTTATATACATTATGAATTTCATTGCATAAAAAGTACAATTTGTATTGTACGTACACACATTAATATTTTTATGAAAAAGAATTCGTAATATATAATACATCAGATTAGAGGATATTAATTAATTTTAAAATAATTCATAAATACGTAAAAGTCGTTAATATATCATCTTTTGTCGCAGTTATCTATGATAATTATCTGTTAGATAATTGTAAAAATTCCAACTAAATTTCAACATGCAATTTTGTCTAATCTGTATTAAAAGTTGCTTTTCTTTGTTCTGATTAAACAACAAATTTTTTTATGACTCATTACGTTTATCACGAATTACTAGGATCATTAGAACGAATATAATTTGATTTAATCTTGTTTCCGACAACCGGGAGATTCCCGACAAGTAGAAAAATTAGATAGATTACAGAAACACATATGTAGGACATGTATATGTATTATATTGCTGATATTTCTAAACATTCTAAAACATTAGAATCCAAGTAAAAAATATTTAGAAATATTTATTATATTTATGATAAATATTCTGTAATAACTGTGAAATCTAACTTTATTTGTAATATAAAAAGATGTTTATTCGTAGAGATAAGTTTGACTGTAATAAGATAAAATATAAAATAGCAAGCTCATTTCACAATGCTGTTTCAAATGTTCTTTAAACAATTCACTAGTGATGTCAAAATTATTTTCATACACACATTTATTACATATCCTCTATTCTGTTGACGCAGCATGTAAACACGTTATCATCTGCACACATTAAAGTGCATTTTATTCAATAACGCTTCTCGATGATATCCGAGATTTACCGAAGACTAAATTGCTTCATGTTAATGATCGTACGAAAGACAAATGTGATTAAAGATTTCTCGAGCTACTTAGTTTGCATTTTTTTTTTTCTTTTTTACCTTAGAGTGAGGCATCGGTACGTCATCGCTATTTATAGCTTCAAAAAAAGGTGTTTCTTCTTTACACGTTTGCCATTACGAGATTTTACGGAGCCGTCGTAAAATCGATTTAGATATGATCATTCCGCAATACTGCCTCTGAGATATTACACCATTTTCGTGTTTGTTTCAGCCAAGAATCCTTGGCGCAAACCATGCGACGACTGGTTTTTGCATTGACCTTGGTCGGCACGACTTTGGTTACGGCGTTCCCGCAAGAAAAAGGTAGTCTCGACGACCTCATCGATCAGGTGTTCCCCACAAATGCTACAGCGACCCCTCAGGGCAGCGACGTCGATAGCATCATCAAAGACGTCTTCGGCAACCCCAACACTACTTCTTCAAATGTCACCCTCGGCATCGCGAATCAAACACCTTTGAAACCTGACGACTGCGAATGTGTGCCTTATTATCAGTGCAAAGAAGGCAAGATCTTGGATAACGGAATCGGCATCATCGATATCAGGTCCGATTTTGGTGATAAGGATGAGAAGCCTTCGGGGTGAGTTTATTGACCAAAGATCGGAGTCTCGACTGGTTTTCTACAATTTACCGGATGGCGATGGATCACAGCATGCTGTGAAATTTTCGTTCGTATATAAACGCGAACGATTAACTTCCTTTGGAATCTTAAAATCAAGGAAAGACTTTAACCACGGTTGGTTTCGGTGCAAATCGTATGCGATGAGTAGCTTTCTAGAATCTACTTACATAAATTTTCTTGTTTTAACTAAATTACTAAATTGGTACTGGTATCCAATATGCATGATTCTATTTTTTATTACCAATATATGCATAGTGATAATTAATATGATTTCTCATTTAAATACACACTGTTAGATTATAAAAATATGTAAATATTCCACACACACATTCTTTCTATTTTATAATATTTATAATTATTTTTTTGAAATAATACTGTAATCTCTTCTTAATAGTAAATGCATGATATTTTTTCGATTCTTTAATAAATAACGTATTTTTTAAAGATATTTTTATTTATTATTGTGAAGGTGTTTTTTATAGAATATAATTCTTATAAAATATTATGAAA